ATGTTCATTTAGCCTTTTACCCATGGATCTCTGTGTATATCTAATAGCGTACACTTTCACTTCCAGACACACATTAATGATTTCGGTTGAATATTTCTGGTAAATTTTCGCCTGGAAGTTCCCGCTTATTTCAACAATTTATATAAAGATAAATAATGGACTACTTTGGATCGAAACTTTGTTTACTGTTATAGTGTTTGTGCTACACTTTGCTATTTCCAGACTTCCCAAAGCATACAAAAATCTGGATTATGTGACGATCTCAACAATTGTAGACAGTTTTTTCATCCATTCAATCGCTGTTTTTCAAGGCGAGTTGAACGAGACCAAATTTTTCTGGTTTTTGAAATCGAATATTTGCTACGTATTCTTTGACATGAGTTTCAACAACTCGCCTCGTCTAACCGATGTATTTTCTGTAACAGTACTCACAGATTATTTCACATACTATGTACTTTCGATTCTACAACATCTTGTTTGAAGAGTAACAAAACATTTTTTGTAGTGAGCAAATATTACGGAGGCCACTTTTACTTTCAACTTTTTGGAAATTTGATCCGATTCGTAAGTGTATCTTGGTTCATAAAGAATGACAATGAACGCTGCAATATTGTCTTTTAGAAAAGTCGAAAATTCACAAAGATTCTCCCTAAATTTACATTTCATGATCAACTCCTCTACTATATTCCAAGAATAGTCGTTGACTCATAACATTTTTCACAACATCGTATTTTTTTACACTCGTGTAACAAGCCTATGGACAAGACAGTTCAGTCCTGGCAGTTTGTATTGTGAACAACAGGAATATATCTAAAAGTGCTGTTATTTTTTTAGGTATCAAATTCTACATCCGGATTACTCATCATCATCAAGAAATTCAAAAATGGTTGAGATTTTAAACAAAGTTCTCTATCTAAGATTTTTTGTGTGAAAACTCGCAAATGTATCATCTTCATATCGGATCCAAGTTCGAAGAAAGTAACCTAACTCCTCTTTTGTTTCCAATTTGAATCTGTTCATGGACAGCTATAAAGGAGGAATGAGTTTTCCATTGCCGTGCCATCGTGCTATCTGTCGGAACTATTTTCAGATTGGAAAAAAATTATGTTAATAGTCTCCTGCTCAGAATATGGCTCGATTATGGTCATCAATTCATACAAATCACCGTGTCAGGTTGGAAAGAGTCCAACATAAATTTCAGAGATTCTGTGCTTCTAAAACGAATATGCACATTGGCAATTATAATTATACAATTCTAATAAAGAATATTATATACTTTTTGAGCAGAAGAAGATAGAAAATTGAAAAAAAAAATATTGGCGTTTACATACCCGGAACTTCTCGAGAGAATTTATTTACATGTGCCAAAAAGAACTGTCAGAATTAATGATCTGTTTAACGTTTTCTTCCATTATACAAAGTATAGAATGCATTCTCCTATTGTAATGTACATCTAGAGGTCACATGTATAAGCCTGTCAATATTCAAATGTCTGCCAAGAGCGACGAGAACATTGATTTTTTCCCTATTGATTTTTATTTTTTCTTTTATTAAATCAAATATTTCATTTTTTACTAATCTAAGTATTACAATAAATAATGAAATTAGGAACAATCATGAAATTCAGGTCAATTCAGAGAACTAAGATTATAAAAAAAAAGAAAGAAGAAAAAAAATCACATCAAAGGTGCTGCTTCGTTCCCTCCTGTTCATAAAAGAGGACATATGCCTCATCGCTCACAAGTTATTTTGGCGAAATTGGGAACACGTGTGAATCATTGTATTTATGCCATGTGTCACTATATAGTTGTCTGCAATATGCTGTGTGATGCCCGTTGTAAGTAGTCCCACTGTGATTTGAAAGTGCATATAGATTATAACGACGAGGAGCCACATTGTCTGTTGCATGATTGCTCATATCTAAGTCATCTGAAGGAAAGTCAATAGAAATATTCAATATGCCTCTGAATCTTTCCATTGGAATCTTTTCAAATGAATGACTAAGATACGGTGAAACTTATAGATTGATAAGGACTTTGTACATTTTCTTCTTTGCTCGCACCTCGAACACGTTGGTTTTTTATCTCCATCCAGAGTTTCCTCTCTTGTGAAGGAATCCAAGCAATGTGACAAACTCAATTGGCCAGTTCTTCGTGGTATGGGAAGAGACAAATCCCAGAAAGGATCGAAGGTTACTTATTAGTGTCCACAGTGTGTGCACTTCATAGTGGATTTTAATTGACCAACGGAATAGTTTACAATCTTAGAGTCGTTCATATTCAACTATTTCAGCCAGTACTCTTGTGCTTTTCTGCTGTCGCTAAATTTTTCGTCAATCTCCATTAAGATCGGTTCAGATTTCTCAGTAATTCTGTTGAGGTCTTCATGTAAACCTTCTAAAAGATATCGAAGGAATTCGTGGACGTTTTGATGGGCAGAACCCATGAATCGAGGGGCAAATCTTTGAACCTGAATTTTGAAGTAGACTGTGTTAATTACTTTATCAGATGTATCTCCTGACCACAATTCCTTGAGAACTTCTGCGAACGCTTTGAATAAAACACCTTTCATACTAGAAATACCAGTATTGATATCTTCCATGTATGTATCCTCTTTTAAGTATCCCAGCAACAATCCCGTGTTTGATAAATATTGGATTACGCTGTTCATGAAACAGGTCTTTCCAAAATTTTTCAACCATTATAGCCCAGTAATTTTGAGTGAAGAATGTATCACCGATCTATTGTTATAACTGTTGATACTATGTTTGCCACTACTATCTTCTTTCGAAGTAAAACCGCTCAAAACTGAATTGAATATAAGTTCTTTTGGGGACTGTAAGGCTCAGCCAGAGGGCTTAACTGAGCCTAATTTAGGGTTCCGACTTCCTTTTCTGTCAAAGGTTGGCCGTTTTGCTGCGAGTCTTCCATCACACTGCACAACTCCAGTTCTTGCACTGTCTGTACATATTCGTTGCGTTGCGTGAAAAAATGAGAATGAGATAGCGGCATCGGTGAAAGAGATTTGCGACAGATAATGCTCGATTGGGGATGAGGATAGAATTGGATTGGCTGTACTATCATAGGTAGATGCCGATATATTTTATTCATGGGAAACATTGATAATTCACTTAAGGTTTTTGATTGAGGAATTGTACCTAAACATGAAGCTGCATTTCCTCTTTGAATCAGAATGCTATTTTTTTGAATCAAGAAAGATTTCATAAATGATCTCCAATGCTTGAGGGCCTAAGGTACCAAATGTTTCGATTCCTATTGCATAAAAAATGAAATTATCTTTCAAATAATTGCATTTTCGTATTTTTGACAATTCAGCTGATGAAGCTGCTGCACCGCTGGATACAGAAGTCGAAGGAACGTGACAAGGAGCCAAAGTATCAACGCAGGTGAAATCCCAGGCAACTGGTTTCCTTTACGCCAAGGAATGAGAGTCATGCCATCTGGTCGTTTTCCATCATCACTGCAAGTGCCTGTGGGTTCTAAGATAGAAGGTATATTTGCCGAACCTAAGGCACGTTTGATGACATCATTTACAGCTTGATGACGGGAAAAGCGCCCGGCGCTATATATAAAACTCAATCCATGATATCCTCGGCTGTCTACTTTGACTCCACATTTGCATTTGTGTTGAACAAACATATACACAAAAATCACTCATATTACTTATACGTATCATTCATAGCATTCTCATATTTATCTCTTTATTTTCAATTGTATAATTTATAGTTCTGTTTATCTTAGTGCTTTGATTCATTTTCACGTACTTGGGTATTGGTGCAGTTCAAAATTGTAACTCATTTTATCAATTGAGTATTCAGGTCCTGTTTTGATTTTGAAAATGATTGAGTTCCCGCATTCTTTGATTTTCAAATTCTGGCTCGGCAGTGTTTGAATCTGGTTTTCTCTTGCAATGAACATACACTTTGTTTTATTTTCATTTATTTCAAGTGAATCACTGAAACACCATTTATGAATACAATTTATTGTAGAGCTTATTGTGTTCATCAAAATTCCTTGATTTTTGCTTCGAAAAGCCATTTCAACTCTTAGTTCATACAACGTATGATATTTTTGATGAATGTTATGTCATTATTGTTATCGCAATAAACTCAGGATGTGAAAACCGTCTGAAGAAGCTAGTCACTCACGCCAGGAAAACGTCAGGAAGAAATTTCAAAAATCGATAGCCTTCAAATCCGAAGAATAGTGACACTTCAATGAAACCATTTTTGTTTCTTTTGAATGATATGAGTTAGTTACCTGGAGTTGAACGGAAATGTATCTTCAGATCTTAGTATTTTGTTTGAGATGCACATTCATTTCAATCTTTTTTAAATATAACAGACGGCTGATGAGATCTCGTTTGAAAGAGAAGTAGGCCGTGTTCGGATGGAACCTGAAGTACCAAACATTTCGTCCTCTACTGCGGCAGACAACAGCAATAGTGGATGCGTTTACTGCGAGGATGAGAGTCATATCTAAAAGTCTCCCACTACAGAAAAAACATTCGTTACTGAGACTTCGAGATATTAGTACGAACGTTTGTTACTGAGACTTCAAGATGTAACAAACATTCGATACTGAGACTTCGAGATGTAACGAACGTTGGATACTGAGACTTCGAGATATAACGAACGTTCGTTACTGAAACTCCGAAATATAACGAACGTTCGTTACTGAGACTTCGTGATGTAACATACATTCGATTCTGAGATATCGAAATATAACGAATATTCGTTACTGACTGAGCCTTTGTGATATAATGAACGTTCGTTACTGAGACTTAGAGATGTAACGAACGTTTGATACTGAGACTACGAAATATAACTTTTTTTGTCTCCCAAATTTTGTTCTCTTTGCTTGTGACTCCGACGGTGAAAGCATATGTTCTTAAATTACGTCTTTCTCACACTTCAATTTTTCAAAAATCATTTCATCTCCTTTCGTTCTAATTAGATGCATGATGCAGTTAATACTCACTTCGGAGGACAGTTGTGGACGTTACATTCTACGACTGTTGAATCAGGCTTCTGTGTATCGTTGCAGAGTTCCTCTTCAACTTCCTCTCCTGTCACTCGATTCTGGCATAAAGGGCGTGACATCTTGTATCCTGGAAGAGAAGAGAAGTTGCAGTTACTCGTTGTTATCAGTCGGTTTTCATATTAAGCCTGAGAAACGGCGTATTATATGCCGTTTGTGAGCTGTTGAAGGAGGATGATAAATAAAGAGAAGTCTTGACATATTGTGATTACATTTTGTAAAATATGGTGAAAAGAAATATGAAGAGAAAACGTCTTGTTTTAGGAGATCGTCTACATGTAGACGATTTACGGTTTCTGGTTCTGGGTGTGTAGAAATGTTCGACGAAGTTCAATTTAACTTTAATTTAAGTAATTCAGGAAAATTCACATTGTACTCCGCAGGGGTCTGTCTTGGGATTACTCTTAATAATCATATATATTATTTTTTTTTTATATATACCCCTATGATATGGTGTGATGCGGATGATGCTATCTATTTAGTATCACAAAAAATATTGACAGTCTCAATTACAGCTTTCAACCAAATTGAAGGTTGAGCTGAATTTTAGTACAATAACAATAATCTTAAACTAACTAGAATGGAAACTCAAACCATTATCGTCTTCAGTCAAAATAATATACAAACCGGAAGTTCCACTCATAACGAGAATCTATGTAAAAATATGTCATCTCATATCTTATTCCTTCTGAGGCAGATAAAACAGGTTTGTAATGAAAGATGTTCTACTTAACATTACCTTTTCTCTGATTCCTAGTAGAATTTCTTATGGCATTATTTTATGGGGTAATTCCAGTTTTTCAATACAGGTTTTCCGATTGCAAAATAAACATTGAGAATCATTGCAAATGTTTGTTTTCTGTATTCGTTTTACAACTTCAAAAATGAATTATTTGAACTTGAATCTATATAATAAAAGTCCGTCAAACTCAAGAAGTCTTAATTTCAATCTGTTCGAAACAATATTCCAAATCTAGATGATTTTACAGTGTGGAAAAATATTCACAAAATAATTTTTGATATTATTGTAGTGGTATAAAATAATAAGATAATGTGAGAAGGGACTATCAGTTGTGAATCATGGTATTTGAGTTGTTGTAGATCCACGATATCGATAGCATTTTGTGAAATGGTTTGTTTGTGCTATGTTCATCATTGTTTTACATTGTTTTTCAATATGTAAGGGTTTGTTTACCCATGACTATGTTGAGATATCCACAACCTAGTGTTAGAATTAGACTGTTATTTAAATGTCCTGCTACAAAACATTATGTAACGTAAGTAGTTAAATAAATGTATCTATCAATGTATCTATCTATATGAAAAATACAAGAATAAAACACAACACTAAACAATTACTCGAAAACATTATTTACGATATCACTCTTGTAGTTTGAAAACTGACATTGCTCTTCCAAACATCTAACGTGTACCCGAACAAAATTTTATGAAGAGTAGTTGGTCAATAATGGGCAACATCTTTGCACCCCAAGCCCTTGATGGTGTCAATTATGTTGTAAATAATGATTCAATGAAGAAGTATCAAATGTCTAAAAGTTGACGAAAATATTTAAGAATATTTTGTGAAATTTTCTGTGATGAAACGATGTTATTTTTTTAGAATTTTTGCGATTATAATAAATATTCAGGCTGAATTTATATTTATCCATCTGGAAACATATATAGAATGAAAACCATGTCGGAAAACTTCCTGTGAAATACATTGTTTCACGAGAAACTGAAAAATCTCGTCGGCATACTTGATTTTCGATAGAGAGAATATTACAAGTGAGTCGAAATCATAGCAGAACCATTATCAACTAATACATGTATTCTACTTAATCTTTTATTTCATGGGTGAATTACTTGATTTCCGAATCCCTAGTTTTCAAAATGAACAAATATATATCTCAAGAACTGTTATGTCCCAAATTGCGTCTTGTCGAAGATCATAGTGTTGTACCTACCCTGTATAGCTATTACATTTTTTCAATTATTCTGCCTACTTATTTCAAAAAAGGCATCTTTATATCAGTAACAATAACAACTTCGAGAATAAAACTGTTAGAAATGAATAATTGAACAATATAACAAAAAACATTTGTTCACCCCAATTTTGAACCACATACACAAAGAGTTCTTTAATCTGCTCATTGTATAGTTGAATTGAATATAATCGATCTACTTTTACTATCATTGAGTGAAAAATGAAAAATTGATGCCTCCTGTAAAAAAAAACATTAGCAAGTTTCTTGCTGTTTTTCAAGTGATTAACCTTCCACTGTCTTGAAAATAAACAAAGCAAAATGAATATAGATTTCGAGTGAGTATTATTGAAGAGCATATCGAACCCAAGAAACATTGACCCCTCCACAGACCAAATATCAACAAATTCAACACCTAAGTTAATCTAATCATACCTTACTCACACCATTATCATGATCAAATGGATTTTCTGAGTAGTTGTTATGATATATTTGCAGTGAATGAGCTTCAGAAAAAAACCTTTGATTTGTGACATACACAAAGTATAGAGAAAGAAACATACATCAAAGGAGGAGGCCAACTCATCTGATGCTTTTAAAAAAATTGTTCTGAAGAAAGGTTTATGATTTTGATATCCTTGATGATGAATATACAATTTTCATACTATAAATTTTATTCAACAATGATCTTTCACACGGTAGTGTCATCAATGGGTTTGGTACATCAAACTATGTCCTTTAAACAACAGTAGATAGTTACAAAACTCAATCATGATCAATTCTGGTAAAACAGGTAGAGAGAGAAATGATTCATATAGTAATGTAGGCTTCCCGACTGGCATCAATGTTTTCAATTGGTTTCCGAGTTTTGCCGTGGCCTTCTTTAGTTATAATCTCCAAACGTTTCGACTGCAACTGCGGCAGTCATTTTCAATGGCGTGGTTGAAGTACTCTTCTTGACGTGTCAACTGTCGTGTCTACTGTCGTGTCAACAGTTGATTGAGGGAATAATTGCTTTATACAGAAATGTAGTCTTTCACGGGTAGCGTCAATGTTTTGGATGGTTCCTGGGTTTTGCCGTGGTCATTTATGGTTATAATCTGCCAAACATTTCGTGGTCGAAGTACTCTTTTTGACATATCAACTGACGTGTTAACAGTTGACACGTCAAGAACAGTACTTCGACCACGCCACTGAAGATGACTGCCACAGTTGCAGTCGAAACGTTTGGAGATTATAACCAAAGAAGACCACGGCAAAACCCGGAAACCTACCAAAACATAAATGCTTCATACTTTTGCACTTTTTTGTGTAAGGATTCTGCATGAATATTCTTAGCATATTGATAAAGCAAATTTTAAGATAAAAAAATAATAATGATTTGCAAAGCTGAAATTATTACAAGTAAACTAAGTATACAGAATTGTAAACAGATACCGTTGTCAATGAGTTAACCACTTGATTTCAGTTATAAATGAAATTAATAATTCTAAATATCCAGTCAATAGAATGAAATATAGCATAGTGAAATATGAAATACCACACAAAGTTGGTATGAGAAAACATAAAATATACTTGGAAGTAACACCGGAATAGGATGATATGAATTGAAAAATTCAAGAGATGAGGTGAAATAATAAATACTGGTATATTACATTGTTCAAAATATATAAAAATATCTTGGAAAAGAAAGGTTTTGACTTTCTACTTCTCCATTTCCATACAAAACATTGTGGGAATCTTCCAATGAATTGAGTGCTTCAGATTGTAATTTTGTCCGTCATTGAGAATGACGGTATTCGATGTAAGTGAAATTTTCCTTTTTTTATATACCATATCGAATAGCAATCCTGTGAATAACGAATGTTCGAAGTGCGAACTGAATAGAGACAAGTATTTTTAATGTTCCTATGAAAATATTTTCAGTAGTTTTCCTCACGTGTGATATGATGTTTATATGAAAGTAGTTGTTTGGAGAGAACTTTTACTTCCAATCCATGTCTGAAAGGTACCTCTTGGCATAATCTACACATCTTTGTTAATGATTTCAGTTTGAATTAATTGTTTTTTTCCTCATTTGCGAGCTATTCAAATTTGTTTTGTATGGAGATGGAGAAATAGAAAGCAAAAACCTTCCTTCTCCATAAAATTAATCTCTTCCCAAAGTATATCCCTTTCAATTCATTCAAAATATCTCTGTTGTCAATGAAATAAGCATTTTCTTGTCTTCGTTGATTAGGAATAGAAATACATTCATATAATGAATCAACTCCAGAACTCTATGAATAGTATTAGTAAAAATAATTGTATGTGCGTAGAATAACTGACTTATGTGTCCGTAGAACAAAATGTTTTTCCGGGAATCGTAGAAATGAATTGGTAGTCGAGAGAATTTGTTCTCATATAAATTATTTTCGTTGTCATGAAAGAGGCGGTGAATAAACATGATCCTCATAGAACAGTGTTTCATAGAGATGCATGGGGACTTGAATGAAGGCAATTTAAAACACCTATTTTGCAACACTTTCAACGGATGAATGAGTGTGAAAGGCTCCATCCAGACGGAATTCCATAGCGTAAGTAACTCTCAACCACAGAGTCCTGAGCTGAGTGGTTTTCAAAATATATTTTTTAATTTTGAATTTAAAAAGAATGAAACGCAGTTTATTGCATAAATAATTCGTATGGGAATTATATCAAAGATGTCAGTCTGAAACGACACTTCAGTATTTTACTTTCGGTTTAGGTTCGGTTGTATGGTCACCCACATTAAAGTATGGGAATGATGATTTTATCGATCTGTTGTAAGTGAATGGAAAGTAATGGGTCTTTTCCATGTTAATTGTTAGTAGTCTGTATCCTTGTCAATTTTTTTTTCAATTGATTACACTAGCCAACAAATAAGAAAAAAAATTGTGAACAGTATTATAATGGCTATACATGGGAGTTTGAAGCATCCTAACTGCAACATCAAAAATTCTCCATGACGTTAAGATTTTGAGTTATAGTTACTTTTATTTTACACAAAAATTTTCACATATTATAGTGAAACGTAAGATCAAAACAAGAAAAAAACAATATATTTTGAGGATAACAGTCTTTATTTACAATATATATGAGAAAACATTCAAATTAAGTCTTTTGTGCATAACCTTTTAGCAGATGTTGACTTTCGTTTATGTGTTTCATCGTTTTTCCTTATAAGGAACCAACACTAATTCCCCATCATTGCTGCATCACATCTGCCTTGGTAACGTTGTTGTATGTCTTGATGGAACATTTTCCCTTGTTTGTCACTAACAGCACCCAAATTTTGTGGGAAAAAATTCTGCAGTAGTTTTCAAGTAGTTCTTCTATAAGTGTTTCGTTACTTTCTACTTTCATTTTCTCTAGAAACCCCGAAACAATTCTTTTGAAAGAACTCTACGCAACTAATTCAACATTACTTAATTTTTTATCAAAATGTTGATCACTTAGTAGTATTCTAATTTGTGGTCCAACAAATATACATTCCTTGAGCTTTGCATCACTTAATTATGGAAAAACGTGTTTAAGATATTTGAACGCATCACCTTCTTTGTCTGATGATTTCACAAAATTTTTCATTAACCCCAGTTTAATGTGTACCACTTATACGTATTTTGACTTATTGCATTTAGAATAAGTGGCATACTTTCGTGAGTTTCCTTCATGGCAACTGCATGTGCAAGAGAAATAGAGGGTCTTTTGTTTCCATTATGGAGCAGAATAGCTTTCAAACTTGTTTTAGACGAATCTATGAATGAACGCCATTCTTCCGGGTTATGTGCAAATCCTAATTTTTCCATCACATCACTTGGATTTACACAAACACAAATTTTATTCTGCATAGTAAAAAACGAAGATAGCTCATGGTTACGGTTCCCAAATATTGTAACTTTGGTTTTAGGGGCTAGTAAATTCCACTGTGTAATCTAGACCCTAATAGTTCAGCATTCGTCTTGGATGTTCATTCAATTCAGATTCTTCGAATGAATGGGGTGTTCTTCCTTCACTCTCGCCTTTTTCTGGCACATCATGGGAACCTGCCTGGTCATCATATATTTCCAAATCTTTCTCCCAATTTGACGGGGGTGTTGAAACTGGTAAATCTTCTCCATGAAAAACCGGCCTTCTTGCAGAAGAAATATCCGGATATACAATTTTGTGTTTGTTCTTTCTTGAAAAACCAGACACTTTTATCATGCAAAAGTAACAGTCGTTGTAATGATATGTTGTTTCTCGCCAAATCTTTGGAACTACAAAAGGCATAAAAAAACGTTTGCCATTCAACCAGTTACTTAGATCTGCTGCACAGGTTTGGCAACATATGTGAGGGGCCCAATCCCGATCTTGAACACCAACAACACATCCAAAATACTTATGGTAAGCTATTTTTGTCATTTGATTAATTGGCCGTTTCTGCGATTTAGGAGTAAACTGACCACATATAACGCAAAAACTATCTGCGGGATTAACGCAGTCACGTTTCTGTTCTTTGGACATTTTTGTACTGTTGCGTACGTCGAGTTCAAATATATGTGTTTTCAGGAGTCAACTTATTTCATTCACAAAGATAACACTATTATAATACTCTCAATATTCGCGAGTTTGCTTACCTGGCTTCTCCAATACTAACTCACCACTACTCGCGTTAAATCAATATTGATGATCCTATTGTCAATCTGCTACTTTTATAGCGGTTCCGTAATTCTGATATTTTTTGGAAACTTTGAATATCGGAAGTTCGAGAAGCGGCGTTACAAGTCTCATATACATCGAAAGCAGATTCGAATACTGGGCAGAGCCGCTGTGTTGCCAGATTTTAAACAACTTCCCCAATTTAGGGGAGAAGCAAATTTGGAATGTCGTGTTCATTAAATTTTTGTGAAAAAAATCATAACTCAAAAATCTTATGTGTTAGGAAATTTTCACTATTATTTTCGCATTCAGGGAACAAAAATGAACAGAAAACTGCCTTTGGCATCACATTCGTCAATTGGCTGTAAACTAGTGTTATTATTCCCAACCATCTTCTTCAGTTCTGTTCTTTGCAAAAAAAACGACGTCATCTGCGAAATACAAGATCACATCCCAATTCCCTTTTGAAAAAAATCCAATTATACAAATGATATACAGAATTGGTCCCAAACCTGAACTTCATGGAATACTCGTGTCACTATTTTGTATTTTTTCTGTTAGCTTCTGCAAAATGAGACACTGATAATTAGGTATACACATCCTTTCCAAAAAGGTTCTCAATTTTTTCCTTCAGTCACATCAACTTCAAACTGTTTTCATAATCAACGAGAACTATGTTTCATCTAATCATACTGATAACCCCAATTGTTACTCCTATTTCTCCTAGATGCACCCATCCCCATCCCATACACCTCCATATTCTACTTGTGTAAACCTCAAGGAGTCAATCAATTCTCCCAATCAACGAGTCTATTGCAGTGATCCAGCGACATTGTTAATACCACATTACACTGCAGCGCAGGTATCTATTCAATCCATGCAAACATCATTCATGTCATTACCAACTAACATATTGATCCACGAACCATCTTTGTCTCAACACGTCATTAAACAAGTTCCTTATCAGTGACCGCTGGTTAATTAGTTAGGAGAGTATATCGGATGCTGTTTATTGTAACGTAGACAGCTCACTATTGATTGCATTTCTACTTGATGAGTCATTTATTCGCGTAAATCCACACGCAGGTCGAAATGTAGAGTGTTCCACTTTTCAGAGTTTGACTCCAGTGAGTGGAAGTATTGATTGAGGCTAACAGATTGAAGGAATGATGAAATCTACTCTTCGGATACCTGCATTTTTCTGGAGTATCCAAAACGAAACGGTGTATACTTCAAAATTCACAAGAAATAAAGTATGTGGAAATTATCGACATGTTGGAAAGAAGTCATCTTCACAAGTATCGTTGATACTGAAATAATGATGTTCGTACAGCCAATTTTGGAAGGTTTAATGAAACTAGTTATGAGAGGTCTCATAAGATTGACAAATATACCTTATCTTATTGATTTGAAGATCACCTTCAGAATCTTGAAGAGGTTGAAGATTCACAAATAATGCTGAACTTCGAGAAGTAGTCGATATTCTTGAAGCAAGTGAATTTTCATGGTTGAATAGTCTCATATGGTCGACTGAAAACTGAAAATAAAGGTCATGAAAATTATTTCCACTCAGAAAGTCCTGGAAGATGCATAGGCATCTTCCATCGGAAATTTCAATTGCAGGAGCCCTTCATCGATTGACAAAAATGAAAAACTGTTCCATGAATGACAGAAATCATTATGTGACTTGAAAATGAGTTCACATTATCACCAATTTCGAACAGACTACTGGGGTAGAAGTCTTGATTTACAATTCCGTTACGCCTCAAATCAAATTCGAAGCAGGCCTGATTCGTCAAAGGTGAAATTGGAAAAGTAAGCATATACTATCTGGAATACTAGTGTTGCTTCTTGTCAAGAAAAAAAAACAAAATGGAATTCAAGATCAAATATCACAATAAAGCTGAAGAGATTAGACGAATTCTTGACCGATCCAGTTTCGCCCCCATTCGAAAAACCATTCAGAACATCAGTCCTAGTTTACAACTTCTCCAATACCCCATTGGATGATAACACTCTCAGCATCCTGTCAAAAGGCTTCAACTTCTCCACAACTCCCAGATCCATTCCCATCAAAACCATTATTACCCAAACAGAATCTGCCATTTCTCACCTACCTGAAAACCTAGCTGAAGAAGCACGTCAAGACATCGCCACCACATTAAGAAGAGCAAAAGTTCCGATATCCAATGTTACCCCAGCTGAGAGACAATTCTATAAAAACCTGAACAACAACCCGAATATTGTCATCCTTCCAGCAGACAAAGGCAATGACACGGTGGTTCTCAATACCACAGACTACATCGGCAAGTTAACGACAGTACTCGACTCTCCGGAATACCAAATAACCCCTAGATACCCAACCGTATACCTCGAAAAGAAGACCAAAGCACTCATCAACAATTTCAACATTTCCACTGAGAGAAAGAAATCTTTCATTCCAAGGGAGAAATCTTCTCGTACACCCCGCTTGTATGGCCTACCAAAAATACACAAGCAAAACTGCCTCCTTCGTCCCATCGTGAGCACATTTGGTTCACCCACACACGTGGGTTTCATTTCGAACCGATGTTCATACAATCCATATTCGATTTAAAGGTCTTTTAACTCCACCGATTGGTTAACTCCACCAAATTGGCTACGTGTGTACCAAAAGAAATAAAAAAAAATAATGTTATTAGTTTTAAGTACTACTATAAGAATTTATTGAGTGAGCAATAAACTGAAAAATATATTTTTGATCCTTGAGTTGTTAAGAGTCCCAGTTATTGTTGTTTTTTAACATTATTTATCAAACGCATATTCCAGAATGTTAAGCTTGTGTGAGGTTAAGTAGTAGAACAAATAAGTTATTTATTTGATGTCAGCCCTAGGACTGGAATTAATTTTCCAAGCGTATAAAAATCTTTATGTATTGACCGGAATGAAGATGTATCATTATTATTATTATCATATACCTAGGATATCCATTTTGAAACGAATGATATTCGCATTGCATTAGAAAATTACGTCGAAAAAAATGTGTATTCATTTATATTATTCTCAAGTAAATGAAAAAATCTTCAGGTACACTCACCTCCTCCACATGTCACCGAACATAAAGACGTGTACGTTAGCGTCCAATGATACAAAGGTCTCGAACAAGATGAACCATCTCCTCCACAAACACCACATTCATCTACTTGCTTGGCAGATCCTATCCTCAAATCACAACCAACTCTCTGAAATGATGAAGAAACGATTATTAGCCGCATTATGTATAATTTATAGTAGGAGAGACCAAAAAGGGATTTTGGTATAAGATACAGAGGTTCCTTTCATCATACTCTCGAGCGGTTCAAGTTAGTATATGCTGAAAACCGTGAACCTATTTAGAAAAATTGACGACTTGAACGTGGTCCACGAAAGTGCAACCTTGCCATTTTCGAGCGATGAACTTTTTTCATTTTAAAAGAAATGATTCAAGGTTAGTGTTTCAATAAGCCAAAGTACATACCTGTACAAGTACAGTGACCTACATTATTTTGAATTTGTATAAACACTTCCGTTATTGTTATATGAATTGGATATTCGAAGAAATGAAAATTTCTAATTTGGCAACCAAAGAAACTCCAAAATTAATTATCACCGGTAACAGAAATTTTGTGTAGGGGAAACTGTTAACGGGGATGAATTGTATTCAGAAAAAAATTGAACGAAAGTATTTTACTAAAAACCGCATTTCCGTTTTCAATCCGATTGACGATAGTTTTATAATCGAATATGTAGATGAAAAGATAAATATTTACATCTAGTAACAGAGAAAAATCTGTCAACTCAACAGCTGACACCATCGACATAACCTAAAAAAAATTCATGTATAAAATTATGAGAGCAATTCGGTTTTGTAATTCTTCCGAACAATCGACGATGCAAATTGAACTGAGAATGAAACATCAATCTCTTCTCAGTACTTGCCAGTGAATGCTTTGCCTTTAAGAAGTTTTTCAGCTATATTTTTTAGAGATATCAGATGAAATTCTTGCTTTTCAAACTTATGTCCATAGAGAAATCTGCGAAACAAAAATAATCATCTGTATTATAATAGGTACTCTGTATGACTCTTCCTGACATCCATTGACGAGTAGTAATACTATCAATACCAAGCAAAGCTCTATTACCCAGGTACTTATAACACAGAAATAAAAATAGATTTATTAGAAATAGATATCTTCATATACATAAAGATAAAGTATGTTGTTCATTGCAAATGATTATAGATATATTGTTTTTGCAAACTACAATTTAAGGAAGAATTCACGCAACCAGAAAATATTGGTGTACATAATACCAACTTACATAAATAAAATTAGATGGTTATGTAACATCGGTAGAAATAATACTCAAATAATAAGCGCAAACAAATGATAATGACACATTAGTATAAATAGACTAAAAAATTCAATATGGATTCGATTTTGTTTAATTGAATAGAGAAGCAAGTGTTTCAGACCACAATACAATAGTCTCCAATGAGTCATGTAGGCACATTTCTTAGCAATTCACATGGTAAATGTAACTAAATATAGTAGTAGTAGTAGTTTAGTAGTACTTTAATAGTCACTAAATTACATGTATTTATAAAAGTATACAATAGGAAAAATGGGCAATTAATATAGATATAAGGAAAGGTTTGTCAAAACGAATCTTAATATTGAATTTTTATCAGAGGAAACATAGGTAATGATGATTCACTTTAGTTTTTGGAAAACTTGTCTGCGAAACATCAATATGAAATTCTTTCCATTGAAGATGGTCGAGATATAATGTATTTTGAGTTACTCGGGCAAAAAATTTTAGTGCTTGTACTTGTAAATAGTATTAACAATGTCGATATTATCTTTTCCTCAAAAGTAGTGAATAATATTTTTAGCATACTACAAAAAAGACACATTGAATATAAAATCTGAAAGTATAAAATCTCTAAACGTGTACATATTATAAAACATATATAACGTAAAAATTCAAAACGGTGAACGTATAAAAATATAAAATACAAACTCGTCTTAAATTGAAATTATTGAAAATGCTAGGTAAGAATGGAAAATATATATAGAAATTGAGACAATAATTCAGTAGGATTCGTTTATAGTAATGTTATACTTTCATTTTTGAGCCATTTGATCACTGAAATTTCGAAAAACTGAAACATATATTCCTTTTTTGTATAATCTAGAGCAAGATTGGATAACTTGGGTCCAATATATGTAATTAATCTTACAATCATTATTGTAAATAATAATAATTGCTCAAAATCTCAAACTCATCAGATTACAATATTGGAATAATTGTGCCGACAGAACACGAAAATTCAAATTGTAGATAATTTTGAAAAATCGTTTCTGTAGTATCATAAGCGGTTGTACAGTCGTATTATAGACCCCACCCCATTGTAGATTTCCATACATTAAGAATGACTGAACTAACGATAAATATATACTGCGCAAATCCTTGATATTCAGTATATTTTTAATGGTTTGAAAAACATACAAAAGGGCTCTGAGTCATTTACAAAAATAGTCTATATGTATTTTCCAATTTCGATTATGGTCAATTTGTATTCCGAAATATTTTACTGAACTGGATTTTTTCAAAGTTTTGTTCTTATTTCTGCTAGTTAAATGAATATCAATGTTTTGTGCATTGGAAAAACCATGGCTGTGACTAAAAAATGAAATGTAAGGTGTTTTATCAATATTTATTGTCAGTAAACTATCATCAAGCCAATTTACCATCATGTCAATATTATTTCTTGTATGAGATATTACATCTTCCCAGGTTGTTCGAAAGTTATAATTATGTATCATCAGAATTTCTGTTTCTGTTTAAAATCTGTTTTTTTCCATTAATCAGCTGTCGCCCCCATACGAACGACAACTTTTCCAGAAATATCAAGGATAACATATCATTCAAATATAATATAAATAGGATTGCCCCTAAAACAGTGCCCTGGGGAACTCCGTATTTAATTTCTAATGGGTCGCTCAGTACACCATCTATTTTAACCATTTGTACTCTTTCATTGAGGTAGTTTCTAATTTATAATTTGCCAGATCTCTCATACCAAGATTATTTACCTTCGACAGCAATTTTTATGACTAATGGTATCGAAAGCCTTGGCCAAATCGATAAATACTACTAGGCATGGTCGTTTTTAGATTAACTGATCATATATTTGTATGACTAAGTTAACTATGGCACCGGAGGTTGATCTTCCATTTTGAAAACCAAATTGGAAATCTGAAATTATATGATGTCTCTCTGTGAAAGTCATTGAACGATTTTTGAGGATTTTTTCAAAAATTTTTGCCAGATTGAATATTAGCTTATTGGACGGTGAATGCTTACTTTGTTTTTCGCCCGACTTAAATACAGGTTTAACAATTGTTATTTTGAAGTTCGAGGGGCATATGAACGTGGCAAAAATAGCGTTTATCAAAATACACAGAGGTTTCGTTATATGTTCAGATAATGTTTTGATAACATTCACAGAAATTCCATTATACCCAGGTGCAGTGTTTGTCTTTTGTTTTTGAATTATATTCTGTATCTCAGCCTCATTACATGGTATTAGGAAAATAGTAACACCCACAGTATTGAAATTTTGAGTTATTACCTCATGTACTTGTTGCCTGATTTTTTGAGCCATTTTTCCACCCACAGTTGAGTAATGGTTAACGAATACATTAGCAATATCGAGTTTGTTAGTGATTATTGAATTATCTTCTGTTTTTATTTCTTTCAGTTCGACAGTTTGACTTTTTTATGCTTTCCTGAAAATTCATTGACAGTAGACCATAGTACTTTTGGGTTATTTCTATTCTCTGATACTTTCTTCTTATAGTACTTGTATTTTTCATTTGTTATTGTATTATTGACTTCATTGCGCTGAACAGTATTTTTTGAACAGTTCTTCATTGTTAGGAATTTTTTTATGTTCCTTAAATAGTTTGTCCCTTGTTTTCATCCATAAAATCATTTATGAGGTGAACCATGGTCTTTTACTATGTAGGAATGGTAATACTTTTTGTCGTGTGACCCTTTCCTTTGTATTCTTCATTTTTATTGTTAAATTTTCAGACATACTACCAACATTGGTATGTTGAATGAAATCACTACCACAGTCTTTCCTTATCACCAATAATTCTAGCATTTTATAATCGACAGATATACATAAGTGTTGGATTTGTTCCGTTTTTTCTTGTGATTCATTGAAATTAATGATTATAGGATAATGATCTGTTATTTTTGACTCAGTTATCATGGCTTTCACCTCATTATCTTGAACAAAATTATTCTTCATGATTATATGATCAATACATGTCACGGTCTTATTTTTAGTGAAAAATACTCAATGCAATTTTTCAGGAAATTGCACTGTTATTATTCACAATTTTTAATTTTTCTTTCAAGATTGACTATCAAGTCGACGACGCCTGTGAACAAAATGGTCGTAGTCTTGTGTCAACGCCTGAAATGACAGTCTTTGAGGCTTTTGTGCATTGCGCAGAAACGTTTTCCTAAATTCAATTTGGATGAATTTTTCCACTAGCAGGAATATGACCATTAGCAGTCTAAGTTTCAAGTTATGTCGATGGCTGACACTATTGAATCTGAGAATTCGTTTAATTTCATTTCATTTGAATTTTAAAGAATGATTAGCGCCATATTTTCAGAGAATGAAACCGAAGCAATCCCTATTAACGTCGAGGTCTGCTGCAATTTTCATGAGGCAGATAAAGTATTCATTTGATTGCAAATCGAAACTGTATAAAATGTTTCGATAAGTTCACACTCAAAATCCTGAAGAAATAAATTTAGTTGCAGGAATTTTAGAAACTCATATTATTGATCCCATATATCTGAAGGAAAATCTGACAGGTGATTTGAATTTGAAAATTTTTCAGAACCCCATCCACCCACGGATTCAAGAAATTGTGGGTAATAATCGAGATGAATTAAAAAATTTATTTATTTTCCAACAAAATGGTGCGCCCCCATATTTTTCACGTCTGTAAAAGATCGGTTGGAACGGACATACCCAGGTATATGAGTTGATAAGTACAGTCCGTTGGAATGGCCTGCTGGTTCAACGGATTCAACTTCTCTCGATTTTTGCATTTGGGGTTTTATAAAATCAAAATGGTGTGTTACCCAACCTGCGACAATACGGAAACTCAGAGACGGAGTTACTGAAACTCGTGTTAGCATTACCCCAGAAACATTCCAAAATTATAGAAGTTAGTTCGAAAATAGACTGTTTCACTGTTAGGAGGTTCAGTTAGAACATTTTGAACAGTTGA